GCAACCTAGAAGATGCCTTAGTTGGCTACACCTCCTGGGACACTGGTTTGGACTGCTCACCACCTTCCCCCAAGGGGCTAATCTTTCAAGCTGGTTAGTTCCCTGCTAACGCCCAAGGTCTTCTCCTGCCTCACCAGATTGCTGCAGGAGCCTTGTTGTGCCTGGCAGCCAAATTGTTGACATTTCTCCTATGCACCAGTTTTGCACAACTGTCATTTATCTTTCAAAATTGCAGCAATCCCACAGATGTGTGCATTTGGACAAAAATACTAAAAACAAAACAATACAAACAAAAGCAGGCACTCAGCTCAGCTCCTTAGTACTACCTGGAAAAAGCATTTGCATTCTTTTCAATAAATATCAAGCACTACGAAAAAAGAGTCTCTTTTAATGGTTAAGGGCTGTCATTGGCCTCTCCTACTCACCCTGACTCCCATATTCTCATTGATATCAGGGAACCTAGTTCAATCCCAGTATTCCCCACTGTCATGTGTAGGCTACAGAGGACAGCTAACATAGGGCTTTATGGGGAATCTGGTACTCCCCTCACCAAAGCATTTCTTGCAGCCCTGGTGAAGGGAGTGTCCTCTGGGGCTTCCAAGATGACATGTGTAAGGTGTGGCTGAGCAGGTGGCACACCATCCCAAACTGGGACACTTTTGAGAGAGCTTAAAGGGGACACTATTAATTATTAGACTGGGACAGCAGGCATAAATCAGGACACACAATATTCCTGTCTTCCTGAGCTTTTGGGTTCTTCCTCAGCACGGCAAGTTCTGCCCCTTAACCCTTAGTACCTGTGGGGTGCTATTGAGTTCAGGCTTCATTTAACAACGTAGCACATTGTTTTAATACCCCTTTGAGGTGCTTGAGCTAACATTAAATCCTAGATCCTGGGTAAATGCACCCATAATAAACGGAGCCTGATTTGAACATTTCATCTTCCTTGGGCAGATACCCTTAGAATCCCCACCCATCCCTGTGCCCCAGATTCCTGCCTGTAGAAATTGACAATATGCCTGGCTATCTCCTGAACTAGATCTTATACTGCTATCTGAGCTATGCTGAGATTTCTTTGTGGGCCTGGATTGCTCGGAGGCACTAAGGGAGTGGGGTGAGTGCTGAGAAGAATCTGCATACCTTTGTGAGGCAGTTACCCCAGGTTAAGTCACTGAAATGTTAAATCAGGGAAGCTCGGTTAGGGGATTTGTGGGGCCTATCTCTGCCAGCCAGGAGCTGTCAGGAGCATTTGGGAGGTTCCGAGTTCTCATTCTTATCTCTATCTGCCCCCATGTCTTTATTGTACCACGTCTGGAGCCAGCTCTACCTTAGAACCTCTAATTAATTTAGGTAATAAATTTTCTTGTTGATTAAGACCTTTTGAGTCTGGGTATTCTTTTATTTGTATTGTGACGTAAACCTCACATTGTGGGTTAAATGAGATACTGGTCATCATACCGGGTACTTCAAGAGGTGTGGATTCAATGAGATTGCACCCATGAGGTATTTTGAACTGTCCCTGCTGCGTGATGAGCACTCAGTAAACATGGGCTCTTACTCCCAGGCCTGGGAACCGAAGCATCATTCCAGAAACAGGTCTCTTGCTATGACCTTGGCCTTAGGAAAATGTCAGGAGTCAATAGGAGCAGAGCAGGCTCAGGAAGAGTGGAAATGAGAGCATGACAATACCTCATTTACTCTTTGGGATCTGACATGAAGTCAGATAGAAAGCCGGTTTACTAAGTGAACAGGCAAAGTCCAGAGCAGGAGTCATTTTTCCAGTCTAGGAAAGTTGTTTCTGGAGGGTGGGACAGGGGTAGATATGATGTAGCAAAGGAGGTTGAGGTCCATACTGGGGGTGGATCTGGGGAAGTAGTGGGCAAGTGCTGAAAGCTAGGTGAGACCCACTGAGACCAAATATCAGTCATTCGAAATAATCAGTGGTCCAGGTAGACTTAGAGGAGTTAGAGATACGGTGGTCAAAGAAAAGTGGTTCTTGCCCTCATGGTCATTCCAGTTTGTTGCTTTTATGGTGCCTTGGGCCAGAATTGGGATACCTTGCTACAGGTAAGGTCCAGAAAGAGAATCTAGACTGTGATTAGATTTGAGAGTGACCTTTCCAAGGTGAAAGTTGAAGGCATGAATAGATGAGATCTACTCCCCACCACCAAACCACGTGTGTGCATGCTCTGTGCAGAAGGAAGGGGTTTCTGGTCAGTGAAGATGCCAATGCAGCACCTGAGTAGCACTCATGACAGCTAGGCCAGGAGCTTCTGGAATCTGAAACGTACATGTCCTGGGCTTGTATGCACATGCCTGAGCTGACTCAGTGTGTGTGTGTGTGTGTGTGTGTGTGTGTGTGTGTGTGTGTTAATGTCCTTCATGTATCATGGAAGAGCGGTTTATACTGTGAGCTGCAGAGAAGGACAGTGTTAAGGATCTGGCTGCCTTGGCAGATTCTGCAATAAAAGCACAGATAGTGGCAAGGGCTTTACCACCACGGGAGGAATTCATGGTAGTGAGATAGTGGCATAAGGCATAGCAGAAGAGAATTGGAGAAGTAAATAAGCATATCTGAAGATAAAATCACCACTCAAATGAAAACTATTAAAAGTAGGTGAAAATGTTGAAATAGCAAATATGAACTTCAGACTCCTGAATTCCCATCACACTGGACTTGAAACGATCACTGAAATTGTGCTATTAATGAAATGAAATTAATCATATTGAAGGTCATAATCATTTAATCCTACTAAATCTTCCAATGTATGTTTGGATTTCTCTAATCACTTGAATAGGTAAGTAGTGCCAACCATTAATTCTGTGTTGCTGTGTTTTGCCGGATGATATATTCAGCTAGAGGTACATGATGCACATTGTGTTTGGTTATTTTCTGCTATTACAACATAGTGAAAACCTCAGCAATTTGGAAGTAGAGGGAGATGTGTTGTTAAAATTAGTGGAATATTTATTTTTTAACAAATGAATTTAAACAATTTTTAAAGTTCTTAAAGCACTTAAAGCTAATAAAAGGGTATCAATTCAAGGTCCTGAGAATGTTTTCTTTGATGGATGATCAATGTGGGGCAATTGTATGAAGTATATATATTATTTGCTTTGAAATATGAATTTTGCTAAAGTAGCATTAAAAGTGTCTGGTAGTTTGCATTACTCAGTAGTTCAAGTATATTCCCTACAGTCTTATGCCCACTTAGTCCTAAAGGTAGATACAATCAACTATGTTTGGTGTCCTTCGACAGTGCTGGTGACCCCCTACTTCTTACTTCTGATCATCCCCCTTGCGTTTTTTTCCCTCCTGTCTGAAATGCCTCTGTTAGGATTTGTTCATTTATCTTCAAATATTCGATTGTCCAGAGACTTAAAAAAAATGCGGTTAGCCTGTGATGGGTAATAGCTTGCTTGAAGTATTTATTAACAGCAGAGCAAGATTTGTTAGAGGAGCAAAAGCCCTGCCCCGGATTAGTTGGGTGGGGGAGTGGTGGTGAGATGTTGCAACATTTGTGTACCTCCTGGTATCCGAGCTACGATCAATAACAAATTAATTTTTCTTATGATTATTCCACAATATTTTCATATCTTCTCTTCCCCTGCCCTAAATGACAAAGGATTTCATGCACAGAATTGCAATAATATAATTCTATTTTAGCCAAAGTCCCTATACAGTCAGTTCAAATGACCAGTCAGTTCAGAGTCAACCAGTCAGCTCAAGATAAAAAACTGTCACAAGACTGTTTATATGCCTCATTTAAAATTGTTACTTTAAAAAAATCATACCAGTAAAAGAAATCAAAGGGAATTATATTTCAGTGGTAACTGAAGTAATTGGGATATTTCTGATTTATTTGTTCTCTAGACACAGATAATTGCACTGCCATACAGGACTTTTAGAACTGCTCATTTGAATGTACACAAATTTTTAACATGTTCATAAGTAGGGAGAATAATATAGTGAGTCCTCATAGACCCATCTCCAGATTCAAAACTTACCAACATTTTTGCTTCACCTATCCCTTTTCTTTCTTATAATTTTTATGGAATATTTAAACTCAAATCCCAGATATCATATTAATTCACCCTTTAATATTTCAGTATGTTTCTCTAACAGATAAGGCTTTAAAAACAATCCATAATATCATCATCGTATGTACTAAAATACGATGACTCCTTAATATTTAATACTCAATCCATATTCAAATATCCCCAGTGTCTTAAAATTGTGTTTTTAATTATTTGTTTGAATTAGGTTTCAAAAATGTTGACACACTGCTTTTGGTTTATATATCTCTAAAACCTTCTTTTAACTAAAAACAATTGCCCTCCATCCTTTTTCCCCTACAAATTATTTGTTGAGGAAACCAGGTCATTTGTCCTATGGAATTTCCTATATTCCGGATTTTTTTTTTTTTTTTGCGGTACGCGGGCCTCTCACTGTTGTGGCCTCTCCCGTTGCGGAGCACAGGCTCCGGACGCGCAGGCTCAGCAGCCGCAGCTCACGGGCCCAGCCGCTCCGCGGCATGTGGGATCTTCCTGGACCGGGGCACGAACCCGCGTCCCCTGCATCGGCAGGCGGACCCTCAACCACTGCTCCACCAGGGAAGCCCTAGAGGCTCTTTATTTATTAGGGATCTGTGATATTTATTGCAAATATTTACTTATTTTAATTTTTTGGCCATGCCGTACAGCATGTGGGGTCTTAGTTCCCAGACCAGGGATGAACCCGCACCCCCTGCAGTGGAAGCATGGAGTCCTAACGACTGGACTGCCAGGGAAATCCCTTATGTTGCAAATATTTATGCCCAGTCTATCATTGGTCTTTTTATTTTCTTTATGGTATTGATATTTCAGGCTTTTGTGAAAATGTTTAATATATTTCCATTTTTTCCAGTATCCTCCCATTTCTGTGCTCCCCAATTTATTTGGTTATATTCTTTCTCTTAGTGTTTATACCTTTAAATCATGTATATACCTCTATTATTTTTCAGATACGAGTGATCTATTTTGACTCTCAGCCATGAAAGATGAGGAACTCAACATATACACTAATACTATTTCCCTCTCAGCTTTGTAAGTTACATTGTTTCTGTGTTGTCAGTGTTTGTAACAGTTACATGTTTTTCCCCCTGAACATAATCCCTGCATGTGTTTCAATTTTAATATATCAGACAAATGAATTTAATAATAACTACCTTGTCCAATTTTCATTCAGTGTTTTTTTGTTAGCTAGTTTCTTTTTCCATTTTTAGTTGTTTCTTCAAAAGGAAAAAAATCCCCGTAAAACTCCTGGGAAATATATCGTCTGAGGTTTCGATGGTGAATAACAGTTTTGTTATGGGTAGAGGTTCTTTCTTTCATTGCTCCACTATCTTTTTAGCATTGAATGTTATTTTGTAGAAGTCTGAGGCCATCCTAATATTTTTCATCCATAACTGATTTGATACTTTTGTTGATTTCTCAGAGAATTTTTTTCTTTATATTTCAACAGGATATATCTAATTGTTATTCATTTTTTGTCATTTTTTTGTGGAAACTGGTGTGACCATTTAACATGTAGATTCGAGACCTGATTCCCTTCTTCAAAGTTTTCATAATTATTTCTTTAAATATGTATAATATATACTGATATTTATTTATGTTGACTCTCCTTTACCTGGCCTCTGTATTTTAAATTTTCTCAGACTTTTCTTAATGTTTTCTTCATTTCCACTTTATTCTCTTTACTTTTATCAATCCTGTTCTCTCTGTCCTTTACAATGATTTCAGAAGTATCTGTCATTCTTCGTGTTGTTTCTAGTTTGGCTTCAGTTTGGTGACAGGTTTGTTGTTTCCCACTTCTTTGCCAAGTGCTGCCAGCTCATGCTTTAGCTTCTATTGACTCGTGCATATTCCTGAATCACGTATTTCTTATTTGTTCTCTTGTTGTGCAGCTATGGATCCTTTATTTTTTTTAAGTTGATGGCAGTGTGCTATGTTATGATATGATGGTGATATGTGCTATGTTATGATATGATGGTGATATAAGTCACATCTGTTTCTTGGCAGTATTTTGCTAGAGAGTGTTATTTGCCATTTTCTTTCCTGTTCCTTCCCTCCTATGGAAGTGCTTCTAGGAACCCTTCAGTATCTTGCCTCCTTCCTAGTAATGCTGCTCTTCCTCAGTAAAGAAGTTACAAGTCAGCCTTTCTTGTCTCTTTCAGTCCAGTCCCAACAGCATTTTCTCTGGCAGAAATAACTCAGTGTTAGTGACTTGTACATTGCATACTTCCCATTTTCCTGAAACGAGACAGATCTGACTCCCCACTCCCTTTTTTAAACATTTCAATAGCACTCTCATGTTTTCACTGTACCTGAATGTACCTAGATGATTTCCGACATTATTTTCAGAGTCAGCGTTCTGTACTTTCTGTATTCGCCCCTGCTGCTCAGTAGTTCTGATGTCTTAATCGCCTGGGATAATCTGTATCCTTGAGAAGCGTTGAGCTAACCTTTGAGAGGGATTGAATAAGATTCAACTCTGGGGGTGGAAGAACCTGAAAAGTAAAAAATGAAATATTAATGACTTAGAATACTTTCTCACTACAGCTGTGTGTGTGTTTCAAAAAATAAGATAAATTTTATTCTCAATTTTTGGAACAACTTTTTATCCCCCTGTGTAACAAGAAGAAAAATCGAATGGTTTTAGTCATCTGTGGAGAAGAGGTACCACATATGTAGGAGATCCCATCAATATGTATATGGGAAAAAAGAAAAAAATCTGTTGTTCATTGGAATAAAAAGTAAGAAGGGTGAAATTAGTATCAGAAAATGGGCCTTAGAAGAGATAGAAAAGCACATATGGAAAGTTTGGCTTGTTGTGAGTTGAGAATGGATTGTTCCTTGCACAAAGTTTGAGTTCAGTGAGAATGTGTTGGGGATCAGAAAGGCTGGTGGCCCCTGTTGTGGCTTTGCCTTAGATTTGCTCTGTGAAGCCCAGACAGCTTACTTGACTTCTGTGATTCTAAACTTCTATACCTATATCATGGGAATAATTATATCTTAGGACTAGTATAAGAAAAAACTGCCTAGTATCTTATCTGGTAGTCAATAAATGTTAACACCATTCTTCTTTTCTTCAATAGATATTATTTAGTAAAATAAGAGTGTAAGATTGGCTGTTATGGTAGTGTTGTGGGTTTTGGTAGAAAGACACTGATATTGGGGGATTTGGAGTGTCAGGAGGAAGTGTGGTCAACACATTAAAGTGTTGGATATTAAGAATTAATTGACATGTGAACAGCATTTGACACTTTAAAAGTCACTTTCATATTCAGTTTCTTATTTGGGACTCACGCCAACTCAGTGAAGAGATATTTTTATTTACATTTTACAAATTGGGATATTAAGTCTCTGAGATGCTCCAGGACTTGTCCATGGTAAAAATGTCAGAATCTGGGCCAGAATTCTCACCCCAAGTCCAGTGCTCTTTTTACAGTTTCATGCTGCCTTTTGGAAGTAATGCCTTGTTCAGGTTGCCTATCTTCCATGGACCTTTGTTTCCTCGTTTATAATCTGAAGTATTTTCATTAGTGGGCCACTCTGCAGGTTCTTCTCTCATTTAATAACAAAGTAGCCCTTAAAATGAGCAACTGTCACTGTCCACTCCAACTCTGAACCTCTATAATTTTATCTCCATTTTGCACAAACGCTGGAGTACTTACAGGAAACAGTATGAGATTTGAGAAAGATTCTGGGATTGCTCATTTTTTTAAAGCAACCTCCCCCCAAAATCCCCCAAAAACCTAAATGTCCATCAAAGGAGATAGACTTAAACAATGATAAAGTACATCCTGATATGAGCTACTTCACAGAGGTAAAAATAATATTTTCTTTGTATTTTTGAGGGGAAGTTCCAATAGGAATTGTTAAGCATAAAAGTAATTCATAAATACATGTAGAGTATGATGATATTTACAAATATTTTAAAACCTATATGTGTATGCATGTGTGTATGTGTCGACATATATGTACAAAAGGCAAAAAGAACAGAAAGATAAATGACAAAATTTTAACAATGTTTACCCTAGACAGGGGAGTAGTATGAAAGAAAATTTTTGCTCTTTTACTCTGTATTGCGCAGATTTATTACAATGAGTACTAATGTAATTTAAAACATAGAATTAGTACTTATTCTGGATAGGTTTTGGTGAAAATGAAAAGCAACTGTTGGTACCATTATAAAATAGTTCTCTTTTGGAAACAGTAATTCATGTTGTAGGAACCATAAACTTATTCACAGTTTGTTATAAAATAAGCATAATTGGTTTTATGAATCTGTTATGTTACTTCAATTCTTCTAAACAATTGATGATAAAACTCTGTTTTATCAATGAAAACAACCTATACTCAAGCTATTATTTCAGTAGTAAGTCTGGTCAGTGCAGTTAGAAATAGGTCATTCCTATAATACCTCTTCATTGTGTCCCTTTCTTTTTGGCAGTAATTTCCTTAGTAAAACCTTCGTTGCTTGCCAGGTTTATTTGAATGGACTCCTAGATGACTTTTCTTCTTATGGGCTCTCTTCCTTCTAATCTGCTCTTTTCATTGCTGTTAGTGTTGCTTTTTTGAAACATAAACCTTACCACTTTTTTCTATTCAAAATCCTTCTGTGATCCCCATATCTTCAGAAAGTACTTAAATTCCGTAACATAACATTTATGTCTGGATTACTCTTTTTAAAAATTATCTTTTTATTGAGTTATGATTGGGCTATCTTTTTATTGTTGAGCTATAAGAGTTCCTTATGTATTCTAGATACTAGACCTAATTATTATTGGATGTATGATTTACAAATATTTTCTCCCATTTGATGGGTTGCCTTTTCACTTTTTGGATAGTATCCTTTGATGAACAAATGTGTTTAATTTTGATTGAGTCCAATTTATATATTTTCTCTTTGGTTAGTTGTGCTTTTGGTGTTGTATTTAAGAAACCATTTCCTAACCCAGAGTCACAACAATTAACACCTACGTTTTCATAGTTTTTATGTTTTACCTCTATGTTTTCACCATTCTCAGAGTTTTAAGTTTTAGATGTTTCATTTTGGTCTTTGGTCCATTTTGAGTTAATGTTTATATATGGTGTGAGGTAGTGGTTTAAATTAATTCTTTTGCATGTGGCTTTCCAGTGTCCCAGCACCATTTGTTGAAAGGAATATTATTTTAACCCCATTGAATTGTCTTGGCACCCTTATCAAAAATCAGTTGTCCATAGATGTATAGATTTATTTTTGCAGTCTCAATTCTTTTCTGTTGAGCTATGTATCTATACTTGTGCCAGTATCAAACTGTCTTGATTATAGTAGTTTTGTAGTAAATTTTGAAATTGAAGAGCATGAGTTCTCCAACTTTTTTCTTTCAGCAGTTTTTGGCTATCCTGGGTCCCTTGCATTTTAGTATGAACCTTAGGCTCAGATAGTGCATTTCTTCAAAAAAGACAATTGGCGTTTGATAGGGATTGTACTGAATCTGTATTAATTTGGGGTATATTGTCATCTTAATAATAAGTCTTCTACTCAGTGAACATGGGATATCTTTCCATTTATTTAGGTCTTCTTTAATATGTTACAGTGATGTTTTATTATTTTTATTATATGTCTTCCACTTACTTTGTTAAGTTTATTTCTTAGTTTCTTATTCTTTTTGCTATTATTCTAAATTGAATTAAAAAATTTTTTTTTCAGGTTGCTTGTTGTTAGTGTATAGAAATACAGTTGACCCTTGAACAACATGGGTTTGAACTGCATGGGTCCACTTATACATGGATTGTTTTCAGTAAATATGTACTACAGTACTACAATATCTGAACTTGGTTGAGTCTGTGGGTGTGGAACCATGCATACAGAGGCCCAACTATAAAGTTATAAATGGATTTTCGACTGCTTAGGGGTTGAACCCCCAACCCTTGCATTGTTCAAGGATCAATTGTACACTTGATTTTTGTTTATTGATATCATACAAATACAACCTTGGTGTACTTGTTTATTAGCTCTAATATTTTGCTTTGTGGATTGCTTAGGATTCCCTATATCC